CGTTTCCTCGAGTTTGCAGTGGGAGCATCAGTGGCACATTAGCACATGACACCCAGGGGCTCCCAGCACCCCATAGGCGACAAGACGAGTGCTACGGATAAGAGGCTGTACAGAAAAGGGACAAATTCTCTCTCCTGGATTGCTTTTAACAGTATCCTCTAGAGATGCTTCTGCTTCATATCTTCTATATTCCAAGTTTTTGCTCATCCATTTTTAATCTCTCTTTTCTTTTTTTTCCCATCTGAAGATGCTTCTGAGAGCCTGGCCTTCATCCCTCAGTGGGGTATTATTTGTTTTCTCACTCGAAATCGTGACCAGCAGTAGGAGACAGTGCGAGACTGCATAAGTATCAGGGGATTATGGCTTCGCGGGGGAACAAGCTGCAGCACAGCTTGGATGAGGACAATTGATTGAAACAACCATTATTACTTGCTGCAGCACAAAGACTTAAAAAGCAATAGTAATTTCCGATCCCCACCTCTTATCTCAGATGCCTGCGTTTAAAGCCTGCGGTGGGAATACGAGCCCTGTATGAACCCTAATTCCTGTTTCTGGGGTGGAAAACGGCTTCTTCTCCCTCTCCCAGGGATGATGAAGCAAAGTCCGCCAAGGCTGTCTGTCCTCGTGGGTGCAGCCGGAGTGGGGAAGGCGATGTCCTTCCCGGAGAGGAGGCAGGCAGGAGCCTGCTGCCTTCCTCCATGCTGCTGCAGTGGGCAGGAGCAAGCAGAAAGCCTTCAGCTCCTGCTGTAACCAGGGAGCTGCAAGGTTACCCGGCACCTTTGCACTCATGAAGACATCCCGGACTGTCCTGGAAGGAAATTTCCCCGGCTTTGGGGCTGAGCTGGCTTCCCCACTCGATGCACAGCTGGCTGGGAAGGGGGTTAGGATGGGAAGGAGCCATGCGGGTCACTGATTCAGCCTCCTGCAACCCTGCAGACCCTGGAAGGGATGCTTGGTTTAGAAGGGGATTTATTCGGTGAATTGTTAAGGGGATTTATTTTCCCGCTTCCAGCCTTCAATTTGTGGCTAACGTGGGCTGGTGTGATCCGCAGCAAGCCAGTCCCAGCAGCCTGATGAAATTCAAACGTGTGAGCGGGTGTGCAGGCTTTCTCTGGGGTGAACTTGTACAACGAGTGGGCGAGTGTCTCCTTGAATGCGGTTTCTGCTCTCCCAGAAACAGCCGTAGCAGCCTGGCCTCGGGTGCTGTGCTCAGAGGGTCTGCCCGGGCACGGACAGCCCGAGTTTGCAGCCTTCCCCGCAGAAGCAGGGTACCAGCCTGGGTGTGAGGCTGAGCAGCACTGCGGGAGAGCCAGCGATGCTGAGCTGAAAGCAGAGAGTGCCGCTTAGTGCCGCCGGGCTGAAACACAGGGCCCCGCCGGCCGCTCCGCCGGCCGGCACACCGGCCAGCTCAGTGCACCCATGGGAGCCGGAGCCCCTCCTAAGCACAGGAGGAGACCTCGACCAGGGCAAGCCCCTTCTCCCCGTGTAGCCTTGCACCCCGTGAGAGCAAAGAGGAGCCGACACGCCCGTCTTAAGCATTTTACATAGAGAAAAGCACAGAGGCAGGCAGGATGCTGTCGTAAGAGGAGATGCTGAGAGATGGGGCTGCTCGTCCTCAGGGAGAGAGGGCTCGGGGGGATCTCAGCAATGTCTGTAAATGCCTGATGGAGGGTGCAGGGAAGAGGGAGCCAGACTCTTCTCAGTGGTGTCCAGTGGCGGGACAGGAGGCACAAACTGAAATACAGGAAATTCCATTTAAACATAGGAAAAAGCTTTTACTGTGAGAGCGGTGAAATACTGGAACAGGTTGCCCAAAGATATTTTGGTGTCTCTATCCTTGGAGACATTCAAACCCAAGTGGACATGGTCCTGGGCAACCTGCTGTAGGTGACCCTGCTTGAGCAGGGGGGTTGGACTGGGTGATCTCCAGAGGTGCCTCCAACCTCAGCCACTCTGCGATTCTGTGACAATCATGACATTTGAGTCAAAGGGGAAACGTGCCAGCAATGGCACTGTCAGGTCTGAAAGTGGGTGACTTACACTCGAAAGGTCCTTTCCACCTAATGAAATATATAGGTTTTCCACCTAATAAACTATGTTGCGTTTCCTACAGCCCTAACGCCAATGAACAGTGACGTTGCAGCTAACTAGACAATTTGTGTGTGAGGTGGCATCATCTGAGTCAGTTTTCTGCGCTCAGAGAGGTTTTTCCACCTGGGGAGCCCACCGCCAGCAGGTGGCAACCGTGCTAAAGCAGTGGGTGCCCGTGGTGCCTGCCTGCGCAGGCTGGCTCTGCTCCCTGGCCTTGCCTGGGCTGCTCCAAGGGGTGGTGCAACACCTCTGCACTCCTTCATCTGCTGATGGCACCTGCCTCCTTCCCCGTGAAGGTCGGTGGGGACCACAGCACCCAGCTGTCCTTCCAGAATCGGCCGCCCGTATGGTCCCCAGTCCTCCATCTGCCAGGTCTTCCCCCTCTTCTCCAAATTCTTTGAGTCATTTGATACCTCTTGAGAGCCATCAGCACCTTCTAAGTGGAGCTGATCTCTTCTCCAGGTGCCTCCCTGTTCCTCCTCTTGTGACTGGGGCTTGCTAGTGATCACCCCACACACCTGCACATGCCAACACACACACACACACACTGTCAGGACTGGCTTTTGAAAAATCCTTGTGTTTGCTGATAGTTGCAAGGTGCAGCTAATGCGAAACAGAGATGAGCCATGAAACTTGGCTCTGGGAACCTTGTGGGCACTAAGTCTAGGGGGTTTAAGATTGTGGGATTAAGGACCCACCGCTGTGGTCTGTTCCTCATCAGGCTGGCTGAGACAGGGGATTCAGCTCTTGATCTTTACAGCAAGTTAATGCTACAGTTGGTATAAAATAAAAAGTTCCTGGAGAAGTTTCACCTAGAAAAATGTGTTCTCCTTCATTGTTCTTCCAAAGTTAACACCTTTAATATGGACAAGGCAACACAAGTGATCTTGTATTTGCAAATCTCTTTCAGTTTTCTAAAAGGGAAAAATGAAATTGCCATCATGATGTATTGAAGGCTGTTAATTTTGGTGTCAGAGCCCCGAGAGCACTGATAGGACTGAATTGCCCTGAATGGCCTCACCTGGGGCCTCCACCCACACCCTTGCTCATTACTCCAGGAGCCCATTTAAGCTGAGCCCTACAGCCTCCTTCCTTGCTTTTTGGAGGGATGCCTGCTTCCAGCCCTGCATCCTGGATGGACCTTGGACTCATGTTGCAGCCTTGTCTTCAGCCCCATTTTCTGGATAGACCTTGGATGACTGCTGTAGGTGGCTTGTCTCCTGGGTGGGCTCTGGTACGTGCAATATAGCTGGTCTCTAGCCCCACTTTCTTTTGTTTTACTTGTCCTGTACTTTCCTGGTGGAGTTTGGAGAGGTAAGAGCCCAGCTTGGTGCTTGTGGATCTGGGGAAAGCTGGAGAGGAAAACATTAACTGAGACAGCCTCCCTTAAATGAGTAATATATACACCCTACAGGGATTAAAGGGTGTGAGAATAAGCTTTTCACAGACCTCCCACTCACCACAGCCCTACAAGATAGCTTACTGCTGTATTCAGCTGGGCATCGCCCTCTAGGACAAGAGCTGGGAGCAGTTAGGCTTTTGCAGAGGTGATGAGGGGAGGTAGTCTCTGGCACTGCTTTGGCAAAAAAAGTCTACTTGCATTTAACAGGGTGCTTTGGTGGCTAATACAGAGCCAAAATAAGGGAGCTGTGGCACACGCACTGTCCTGGCTGTGGTAGATCACTACTAAGGACTGAATGTGGCAATGAGCCCAGCTCACCTCCGCAGGTGGATGGTTGAGGTGAGACTTTTCCATGACCGTGAAAGCTGGAAGATGTGGTGTGCTCGTCCCACTGTCTATCAGTGAGGGTCCCTTGCTGGGGGAGGGAGGATGGCGTTTCAACATGTTTATGATAGTTCTTGAAGCATTCAGTACTGTATTTCTGATGGCCAGAGTCTTCCTTTCAGGCCCTGGTTCCCTTGAAATACTTTGAGTTACTATTTACCTGTTAAAGAAGGAATTTTTTCTGCAGTGCTTGTTAGGGTTTTTCTTGTGGCTTACAAAACACCTTAATTTTGTTATAAATCTACAATATTTTATTTTACAGTAGGTAAAATGCAATATATATAGCAAAGACATGGGACAAGTAACACAAGTTTTCTCTGGTGAAAGAAGGACCAGTCTCTTTTCTTCCCATGAGGTTTATTTCATTAATTGCTCTTAAATAAATATATATTTGACACTTCACAGGAACAACTAGTTAAAAATAATTTTGAACACAAATTCCCACAGTTGCCGTGCTATTTGCGTTGTGTGTTGTTTAACACTATTTTTTGAGACCCAAATCTTGCTTTTGGTTTAAATTTAACTTGTGTTAACAGTTCAGGAAAGATGGAATTTGGGGTAGAAAACAGACATCCCTCAAAATAAAAAACGAAGCCGTAGCACACACATGCACATACACGGACATGAAAATGGTTAGTTTTCTCTTCCGAATACTCATCTTGCATCCTCTGTCCGTTTTATTGATATGTCATTGAAAGTGCTTGTTAGCTCTGCTCCATGAAACAACCCTCCGAATAACATAGCTGTTAAGAACTGAGCGTTACGTTAATCTGAAAGCTGGGCTCCAGCTTGTCTGTGCTGTACAGCAGATGGCAATAAAGGACCGCTATGTAGCAGAAGTACACCTCTGAAAAGGAAGTTTCCTGTCCCTAATGCTTCAGGGTGTGTGATTAGAAACAAGAATACAGAAATGCAACTTTGAGAAGTTGGGAGGTGCAGAGAGCAGAAAAGGCAAGGCTCGCAAGTAAGCAGGACAAACCATGTGAATGATAATGATAACCAGACACATACATCGCATGTAAATGAAAGAAAGAACATTGTGCATTCATCAGCCGCCCCTTCAGTCTGCAAAGGTGCCCCTGCAAAGCCATGGGAGGGAAGGGATCTGCGAGCCCCAACCCACTGTTCAAGAAGTTCTGCATTCTAGCATCTTCCGGAAACTTTTCCGAAAACTGTCATCCAGGAAAGCATACAAGAAAGGATTCAAGCATGAATTGGCATAGCTTAGGCTGGTGATGAAGTAGGATATACCGATGACCATGGAGGTCTGGGGCAAGTCAGTAGTCAAAGCCACAATGGTGGCCAGGTGGAAGGGGGTCCAACAGAAGAGGCACACAGCTAGGACTATGAAGACCATAATAGTGACTTTCTTCTTGGCTTTGTCCAGGGCTTTAGCATTAGAGTTCAAGTGCATGTTCCTTAGCTTGTAGAGCATCATGGTGTAGAGGATGCAGATGGTGGATACTGGAATGGCGAAGCCAAGAATGAGGGTATAGATCCTGCTGGCTTTGAACCAAAACCTTTCAGGCTTGGGGAAATTGAGACCACAACTCTTGATCTCCAGGTCATCTATGTAGACATTGGCAAAGATGACGAAAGGGAGAACTATGATGGTGACTAGGATCCAGATGCACAAACTGACGATCCTGGCTGCTCGGTATGTACGATGTGGCATCCTCTTGGACCTGACTGTAGCCAGTACTACCAGATACCTGTCTATGCTCATCACTGTTAGGAAGTAAATGCTGGAGAAGATATTGTAGTGGTCTATGGACAAGATAACCTTGCAGAGGACTTCTCCAAAGGGCCAGTAGTGGAGGAGGTGTTCAGCAATATTAATGGGCAAGACAAGTGTGAACAAGTCATCAGCTATAGCAAGGTTCAGGATGAACATGTTTGTCACAGTCTTCATCTTGGGGGCCTTGAGGATCACATAGATGACAGCAGTGTTGCCTGTGAGCCCAACAGCACAGATCACAGAGTAAATCACAGGGAGGACAACATAGAAATCAGCTGCCTGTTCTTGGAAGGTTAAGTTGAACCTCATACTGTTGTCCAGGTAGCAGCTGTTGCCTGCATTGCTGCAGGTGCTGTTCAGATCATCCCAAAGAGAGCTGTTTCCCATGCCTGCTGGTCACAAACTACCCTCAGATGTCACTGAAAGCCTTGCTAGCCCAGGAGGAAAAGCCTTTTTTCTGTCTGAGAAACAGCTGCTATCTCATTTAGAAGTGGGTTATTTCCAAAGAGTGGGTTGTGAGGCAGCATGGACCATCTAACTTACCTCTCCTGTCCCCCACCATTGGGGAAGTTAGATTTTGAAGTGATCGGGGCGGGGGAAAAAAAGATTGAAAGACACATAAGGCTCCATGAACAAAGCAAATGAGAATTATAACTCCCTATGTAAGTCAAGGAACTCTTTTCTCTGAGAGCATCCTGGTGAGCTGTGGCTTTTCTCTGCTGGGCAAGTCAAGCGTCTCTGGTTCAGCTCTCTGCAGCAAGAGTCCTTCTCGGGGCTGGCAGGAACAGGGAGGGCAGAGAGGAAGCTTTGTGCTTGGTCGGCTATTCACAGCCCTTGGAGGACTTGAGGGATGGCTGCTGTTTCACTTGCACAGCGCTTGCTTTTCCATCCTGTAGCAGAAGCGTTGCAGTGTTTAATTAGTGCCTTTCTTTGTGTCGGAGTTCAGACTCTTTTCATTGACTGAGATTTCACAAACAATGAAGAAGTTTCTGACACGGCTACTCCCCGCTCCCAGGGTCCCCTAGCAAAAGAAGAAGGGGGGGGGGAATAGAGTTCAAGGAGTATTTCCAAAACCAAGGGTTAAAGGGGCTTAACGCACAATTAAAGTAACTCTGTAACCAAGAGTAGTTTATGATCTTATTCAATATGAAGACCCATCCCCATTGCAAACAACTGTGGCAGCACAAAAAACTTGGCACAGATGGACAGACAAACCTGTAAATCTCAAAAGTTCAGGATTATTCAGGGAAGGGGGGAGAGAGAAGTACCCTGAAAGCAAATCCACTTTTGAGTCAAAGCAAGAATTACCCCATCTGTTTACATCTCTACCAGTTGCCACATCCATCGCTATTGCCGGACCCATATTTCCAAGAATTCCTGTGGAGGGAAATGAACAAACAATGGACCCCCCGTGAAGATCAAAGATTTGGCAACTGGTCCCCAGGCTCTGCAAAGAGAAGTGCCTCGCTTCACTTGCATTTTGTTCTTGCACAGCAATAAAGTGAGCAGGAAAGCCGGCGTCGGGAATAGAGGGTCAAAGTGCCCCTTACCTGGTGAGCGGCTCTGGCTGCCTCCTCCGGCACCTGCTGCTCGGCACTGTTGAGCCTCTTCTCTCTAATCCGAGTTGGAGGAGGGTCTCTGGGATGCTGACGTTACCCGGCTTTGCAATCATATCGACATGGTGGCTCTGTGTGTGCATTGCATGTCTGAGCAATTAGCACTTGTTCACAACAGAGAATGGGGGGAAAAAAGTTTTCTCTCTGCAGGGCTATTTAAATCGTAAGTAAGGTAGATGCTGGTGAGCAGCTGATGCTCCAGGGCTGTTCTCTTCAGGAATGAAGGAGATGTTGAGGGGCACGGGCAGCACTCGGGGCTGGCAAGCTGTGGCTGGCTGAATGAGGGATGTGTGAAACGGTGGGAAGGGGGGGTGGGGTGGGGTATTAAACTGCTTCGGTAGGGAACACTGGCTGGTTTTAACAAAGGAAGATGCACGTGTGTGTGTGTGGGGAGGGAGTGGGAGGAGGGTGCACAACACTACGGCGCTCAGAGTGAACAAATAAACAGACGTACCTTGCCAGATCTGTGCTGGTTTTCCCCAGCTGGGTCTCTGGTCCAGCTTTGGAAATGCAGCTAAATCCTTCAGATGTGCATCACAAGATGCAGCAGTCCTGTGAAGCTTGACAGAAATGCACCCCAGGTTATACAGCAAAACCAGCAACGATGCAAGATCACTTTACCTTCATGTCCCTATAAAAAGAGGAAAAAGGAAATCAAGGGTCTTTTGATTCTCCTTTGGTCTTTTAAATGTATCGCCCACCTGCAGGTTGCCTGACTTTTGTTTCAATACCGGGCGAGAGAAAACGCAGGCATCCATCAGCGCTATGCCTGGCAGTGTGTGGTGTCGTTTAACCAAGCGGGTCAGCTCATTTATATAAGCCACGTAGCGAAGAGCTGTGTTTGACTTTGCTCCTCTTCTGTAGACGTTTACCCTTTTCTGGCAAGATTACTGTGCACCAGTGACGGGGTGGGAACAAAACACTTCATTGCACTCAGGGATGTCACTCCTTAAGGCCGTGGGTATAATGGACTTTTCAGCAGATGGTAATTTTTTAATGCCCAATGTACAACTCTTGCAGATATTTTCTGTATCTTAGCCAAAATCTGACCAGCCGTTAGGCCTAAGCAAAATTAAACAGAAAATGATTGCCTAAGAAGATCCATAGGAATGATATGGAAGATATTTCTTCAGACGAAAGACCTCCAGAGTCCTCCTCTTGCCTGTTTTGGGAAAGCTGGCAGTGTTGGTAAGTAGTTGTAAGGGAAAGGGGGGTTTGAGAGGTCTGTAGGGGGAAGGCAGTTTTCCAGGAATCGCTATTGTCTTTGTCAAAGAGAAGAAAATACTGGAAGATAGAGAATTTCAGGAGAATGCGATGTTAAATTTACTGATCAGTAACAATTCCCCAGGGCAAAAGGGTGTAAAAGTATTTTGCATTGAAAATGCTTCCATTGTGGCTTTGTTTTTCAAACGTAAAGCACATCTCTTGGTCTCTGGGAGAGCTTAAAAGCTGTCCTTTCACTCCCCAAACTGTTATCTTGGAATTGGCTGTCACGCTGCCTTGGCCAGTGGCTGTGTGCCCTGGGGCTGGGTGTTTTGGGACGTACTCCTAAGGGGATGGGAGTCTGGGGGCTGGGGAGGGCTGCAGGGGTGGCTGTGCTCTTGCAGATCACGCGTGGGCTGTACCCTGAACCGGGGCCACATCCCTCCCCGGCTGCCTTACTTCTCATTATCCATAGTGAGCACGGTCTCGTGCATGCCTTGGTTAGGATGCGTTTGATTAAAACAACTTTGTCAGAGATGAGATGGAGACTAAGAATTTAATCTCGTTGTCTGATGTGAGTAGAGGGGCTTTTGTTTCTTTTATATCCCCAAGCAGATGCATGGCGCCTGCTTTCTCAGCTGTGCTCCTTGCCTGGTTCCTCTAACAGATTTGCAGTAAAACTCACCTGCTTTGGGGAGAGCAATTGCAAACGGATCTAAATTCACACATGAAATTGCATTGCAGCAGGAGCACCTCCATCAACAAAGAGAAAATCTTTCCCTTGTGTCGGCTCTGGATCCAGCCAGAGCTGGTGGCTGAGCAGAGGAGGCACGTTGTGTGTATTGGCATGATGTGAAACGGGGCGTGCCTGGAGGGAAGGCTGAGAGGATGGTTTATTCATCTTGTTTTCTCTGGCTGGGTGTCCCTTCCACTTGATGATGAATGTTACAGTGGCACAAAGCCCTGAAAATCAAGCACTAGTTCAAGTTGCTGCTATGAAGGACACGAGCTGTATTTTCCCTCTGAGCCACTTGGACCTATTCTTGTGTGGGCAGCTCCATCACCAGCACGGTGCAAGAGGGACAAAGTTTCTATCCCTGGCAAATCCATGCTGTGGAGTCGGACTTTGCCTCTTGAAACCCACGTTCACACTATGCAGCTTGAGTCAGCTGTGCAAACAGAAAGAAAAGGCAGTAAATTAGGGAGGGGGAAATCCCTTGCAATGCTAAATCAATGGTGCTTTATTGCCTTCGTAAAGCTGATGTGCTGCTGACTCCAGACAAAGGCCACCCATCATTTTGGAGTTACGGAGAACTGTGCTGCCGCCGGTGCCTGGGGGACATCAGGAGTGGCCGGCACCGGCAGGGCTGAGCCGCAGCAGCAGCAGATCGCACCTCACTGGGGGCAGGCAGGGCAGAAGCTCTCTTTGCCTGGGTTGTGTTTGGAGAGAACTGCAAAATGCCTGCTCGAACGATGGGATTATTTCCCCACCAACAGTGTGAGTGATGCTGTCCGAGCCCTCTGAGATGCTTCAGCCCTCTAGTGAGGGTACGTTGTCTAAAGGGCTGTCGTCTAAGGCAGAAGGCTGCCCCCTCTAACCAGGTTTCAGTCCTTTTGAGGAGAACCTCTCCGGGTCACTAGGAGTGAAGCCTACCTCACCTCCCTTGTTAATCCACAGGGGCAATTAAAGAGGATGAGTTACTCTGGATCAGCCCCTGAGATGGACACCCTTTTCCTTCTCCTTTTTCAAAGTCACAGTAATCTTGGCGGGATTTAATTGTCAAACTTTGTTGAATTAAGGCTGCTTTTTATTCCATGCAGGAGCACCAGGGGAGACGAAGCCAGGCTTGCTGGAGGGGTGACTTCACCGGGGAAGGGAATGAGTGTGTCCTTCCTGCAAGGGATCACAGGGATAGGAGACATGTTCAACCGTTTAAAATGAAATGGCTGAACCGTGGGAAAGCAAGCTGAGAACTGATGCTCTGCTCTGCTCGGGTTTGGTAATGTTGGAAATTTGTAATGCACCTGTGCTACTGCTGCCTAAAGGCACAGATCACCTGCTGATCAGGCAGTAGCTTCCCAGGGCTTTTTCACCCTCTTTGAAAAGTATATTTTTGTCTTTGGAGTAGAGTTCAAGGAGAGCTGCTAAATAAAGCAAAATGAAGATGGCTTCTTAGTCACCCAAGATACACCTCAGGGTGCACCTTGCTTTTGGCATTCTCGCTTTGGGGACAAGGTATGATCATCTCCCCATGGTCACAGTGCTGGTAGTCCTTGCCTTTTCTGGGGCAGGGTTTGAGCCTCACCTCCATGTCTGTGACAGTCATCCTGGGAAGATCCGTAGACAATTTGCAAAGACAGAGCAGAGGTTTGTCTGAAAAGCTGGCCCTCATTGGAGCGTGTAATCACATGAACAGGACAGATCTGGATTGGGATTGCTGTTCTAGGACTCCAGCTTTTCCAGAAATCTAAAGGGATTGTTTTCCACTTGGCTTCACTTCCCAGCGTCGGAGGAAGGGGTTGTGCAGTGCTGGGCTCAGCATCTCTCCCAGCGGCTAAACCAGGGAGCAGCAGCCCTCTGCTTCACAGGCCCTGGGCATGACCATGGAGC